CTGCTGCAGGCATTCATGCACTTGTCGCTGACACCAGCCCACACCGAGCCGTACGCGGCGCCGGTGACAGCAACAGCAACGGGGTCGCCGTCGCAGCAGCTGCTCAGGTTCTTGCAGCAGAGCTTCGACGAAGACAAACCACTGTGGTCCGTTGGTAGTGAGCGAAGGCGCCTGGTCTCCGACACGGTTGCGCTCTTCAGCCAGATGCTGCACCTCAACTACGCGGAGATGACGGCACAGGAGCGGCGCACGACCCTCGCCCGGCTGTGCCGAATGGTCACGCGTGCAGCGATGACATTCTGCCCCATCTGCCTCGTCACTGCCGTGAACGTCAGCACAGAGTGCGGCCACAGATTCTGTCGCCAGTGCATTGTTCAATGGGCCCAGGCGAGTCGCACGTGCCCAACCTGCCGCCGCGTCCTCAACGTGGCCAACCTCACGCCCATCGAGAGTGAAGAAGACGATGGTGGTAACGGTACTGGTGGCCAGACGAGCAACCACTTCTGGCTGCCGCATGTTGGGCACGCTGTCCACACAGCTGTGCTGCACTTTGCAGGCGGTCACCGTGAGGTGCACGAGCTATTCCAGCAAGCGCCTGGCCCCTTGTTTGAGGCACTGAGCGCGGTGATGTCCCACGACAACTTTGATGCAACGCAGAGCCCGCCCATGCTCGTGCTTGCCGTTGACGTGCTGGAGCGCTTTGTGGTCGAACGCGCCATCAACGGCTGCAGCCTCATCGCCATCTTGCACATGGAACACCACCTGCAGCCGTGCGTGAATGCGGTGCAGGAGGTGATGAGCAACGTTGGCGACGGTATGGGTGGCATCTCCCCGGCGCAGGCACGTGATGGCGTGGTTGGCATTGCTGTGCTGCGTACATGCGTGCGTGTCATTGCGCGCGCGCTGTTGGACCACGACGTGGCCGATTTGGAGACGCTGACTGACGTGCTTCCCGTGCTGTTTGGAGGAGACGATGATGGTGACGACTTTGCCAGTGGTGTCAACGACAGCATGAGCGTGATCCAGCGCATGCGCCTGTTCCTGCTGCAGCTGCTGAAGCAAGGCCGCAGCTTTGCCGAGTTGCGCACGGTGCTGGTTGCCCTCATGGACTACCTGCCATGGGCAGACTCACTGCAGTGGCCAGACCTCGACCAGCAGCCGGTGCTGTTCATCCCGTTTTCCGTTGTCGACGCTGCCGAGGAGCGGCGCCAGTGGCGGCGCCTCCGCGCTGCTGCCACCCGTCCAGCACAGGCGGCTGCGTTTGAACTTGGGCCGCGGGCCATGGCCACCCTCATGATCCGCCTGCACATGCGGCAGTGCGACGCGACCTTCCGCGACGCCGTCGTCGGCCAGCCCGCGCTCACCACGCACGATGCAGCCGCGGAGATTGCACCGCTGCTCACTGTCCTGCCGTCCGCGGACGTGTGGACGCGCGGTGCCCCTGATGGCTTCACGCCGGCTGAGCAGGAGGCGTTTGTGAGGCGAATGCAGCACACGCGTGTGCTGGTCCTGCGCCTGGCCTGCAATGTGCTTGATGCTTCGCTGGAGGGCCGCCGGGCCGGTTTCCTGGACACGATTGTGCGCTCGCCCGAGCAGTGCGCACAGATGTTCATCCCTGCCGCTGCGGATGACGACACGCTGGCTGCCCTGTCTGCGGTGCAGGACAAGACGCGCTTCTACCGCTGCCCGTGTGGCGAGCCGTACGTCGTGGGCAACTGCGGCCAGTTCAACGGGTCTGGGCGGTGCGCGCGCTGTGGACAAGCCATTGGGCGCGGGGCGCAGAACCAAGGCGCCGTGAACCAGCAAGGGCCCATGCAGCAGCAGCAGCGCGGATACGTGCCACTGCCGCTGCAGGCCTTCCAGCGGGGGGCGCAGCCAACGCGCGGGCTTCCCCCACGCGCCGCTGCCGTGCTGGACCTGTTGGTGCATGCTGGGCTGCTGGCTGCTGCGGCGCAGGGCAAGGTGGATGCTGTGCGCGAGGTGGTGGGTACGAAACTGCCGCACATCCCGGAGAACAGCAACACCGCGGACGTGTGCTATGCGCTGCTGCGCCGCCTGGTGTCCGTGTACGAGCGACTGGAGACGACGGTGGCGGCGGACACGCGTGCGGTGAGCGGGCTGGTGCACGCCACCGCTGAACCAAGTCATGGACGACGCGACGGCGCTGC